TCCAAAGAGAAATCTCCAATTGAGGAAGAAGTGTATATTTCACATTTCTAACAAGTTTTCACTTACAAAGTAAGAAATGTCAGCTAATCATAAGCAATTGGACATCTAAAGTAAATGTAGCAACACATAATTTACAATTTACAGAAATTTTAGATGAGGGAAAGCTTTTCAACAAAACCAAAAGAAATAATACTTTGTTAGTTATTTAATCTATTTCTACAATTACCATAAACCTTCAATTGCATCATGTATCTTGATGCTTAACACTAAATGCACCGGTCCACTTGTTGAGGGACATATTTCTGTATAAAGGTACAGAGTCCTTGCAAAGAACAGGTAAAATTAAATATATGTTTTAAGGCTTTTCTGCAGCAACAGGGAGATAGCATAAGTCAATATTTACTGTTCTCACTAGTCACTACAAAATGTTTGTTTTTATCTCTGAAAGTAATTTGTACAGTGGAGTTTTGCTAATAAAAGATTAACTCTTGAGAGCAGTAAGCACCTGCTTGTGTGCTAAGCCAGCAGAACATGTGCCTGCCCAAGGTGCACCAGGTCTGGCCAAGTGCAATTAATGCAATAAAGCTTTTTTAAAGCTGAAAGGTATTCTAATTGGAGGTGGGCACAGAAGACACATCATGCCTAAGATAGAGGCACGTATTTGCTACCATTGTAAAATCTTAGCACCATTGAAATGTTTCAAAGAGCTGCTAGCCAGTCATCTCCAAAAGAGATTTTTCCACCCCTTGCTTACCCAGGAAAGCAAAGTCTATGGCCTTTCCAGAACCCATCATACATGTGTTCTTTTGCTGATCTGAGGCTGGGAAGCGACACCCCACCCCCCTGGAGCAGTGGGGCAGCCGTGCAGACTGCTTCATGCCAAACCGCACAACGGCCACGGCCTGGGGATGGTGCTGAGGGATGTCAGAGAGGAAATAACAGCAAGCACAGGCACTGGAAGGTAAGCAGCAGCTTGGGAAATAGACCCAGCAGAAGAGAGAGAATGTGATCTGGCACGGGAAGGGGAGCAGCTCAGACCCACATTTCTCATAGGCTCTCCCAGGAGAGCAGCACACACGTACTGTCTGAGGTACAAGCAATCACGGAGTGTTTACACTCCACAACACATTGAAAAGTATTTCTAAATGTGCTACGGTTTGGTTGCTGCCAGAGAGGAAATGCAAATATTCATCTTGCAAAGTGCAGGTGCTATACTAAGAAGGCATAGGTTCCTTTTAACAGTATTAACCAGATTTTAAAATGGAAAGTGTTTATCACTTGAGATTCCAGACCTTAAACCTTTCTGCAAGGCGTGCAGATGTTTCTTCATACCCCCAGCTTCCATACCCAAAGAGTCCTTAGAAGAGGAGAGGACTTAGCCTGTCACATCAGTGGTGCTCTGCTGCTGGGGCTGCAGGTGCAGGGTAAGTGCTGCAGCAAGTGTGAGGCAAAAAATGATGCCAGAAAGAGCTCTGTGGATACCCTTTTTCCACTTTGGACATCTCAGCATCTCTGTTTTCCAGACTGAGCAAGAGCTGTGACTATGCATGGATGTTCACACTCTCCTCTGCCTACCCTTAGCCCATCCTCACTTCAGTTTCATCTGCCCTGGAGCTGGCAGGGAACTTCCTTCTCTTGCTGCACATGAATTTTGACCACAGTAGCTAACCAGTCTCACCATTTCCATATGAAGAAGAACTAGGAAAGATCCTGTCTCCTGGAAGAAAGACTTATCTATTAACATTACAATGCTCTGTGTACCTCACCATACTAGAAATGGGCTTTTCTACAGAGGAAAGTGTTCTGTGCACCTCTTGTCCCTGCCCTTATTGAATGCATCACCATGTTTATAATTCTTTGCACAATCTTTTTCCTATATTCTGGCGAAGACCATCAGCGTTCACAAATGCAGAATGACCACTGGCAATTACACTGCAAACACAGGCCTTCAGGAAATGTACAGTGCATAATATTCTGCTACACTTTTATTATTATTATTTATTTATAATTTTGTACCTGGGGGTACCAGTCCATAGGAAAGGACATCTGGCTCCTATTTGTGAAAATGGTGGTTTGTGGGTTACGATTTGTATGCACCAGTGGGATTTTGAAAGGAAGCAATTCAGCACTTAAGCACACTTCATCATTTTCATGTATGGCAGGGGAAATATGTATAGTTATATATGCCCAAAGAGATCAGGAAGATTATTTTTAAACTGAAACATTTGATGTTTTTAGAGCATTTATGCAATTCCTCTTAAACCGCTATTTTCCTTTTCAAAATTAGCATCGGTGTTTATTTCCTTTGTGAAACCTGGTTTGTGTCTGACCAATTAAAGTGAAGATAAATGTGACAGGAAGCTGTTTTGAATACAGCACCTCAGCTGCAGAATAGAGCTTCTCTGAGTAATTGAAATGAAAGTCAGTATCAGTAAAAATAAATTGCGCAATTCAATTGTGGCTGGAAAATTACTACTGAGATTGGCAACTTGATGCAACTATTTCTATTACTTTCCATTGCATTAGGTAAGGTAATAAATACTTCATAAGAATAGTAGAGCAAGCTTTATTTTGTCCCATATTGTGGCTATCAAACAATACTGCTAGATTGCCTTTCGGGCAGGAAAATGCTTTATTCTCCACTCCTGCATAGTCGAGAGCCTTTCTGGTGGTTCTGCCAACAAGGATGCCAATTAGTGTCAAGTAACATCTTGGTACTGCTGATGAAATACAAAGAAAAGGGAGCGTAGTATGGTGAAATTAATTTACTGTACTAAGAGATAGAAAAATACCTTCTTTTTTTCTCTTTTTTTTCTCTTTTGTTTCCTCTTTTTTTCTCTTCTAATTGTACCTAGAACTCAGTAAGATGGGGTGGGGAGAAGAGAATACCACTCCTGCCGTTTGACAGTTTATATCCCCAATTCTGTACTGGGAGTTCTCATTTTGAGCTCTCTTCTTAGAGGAAGCCAGCACTACATAAACCTTCAAAATGTGCAGATCATACCCACTTTCTAAGGTGAACCCCAAACCAGCTCTGTGTTAATTCTGCTAGTACTTTCATCAATATTGCTAACTCTCTCTAGACAAATTACTTTAATGAAATCTAGAGAAGAATGAAATCTCCTGCTTAGGAGGATGCACAAGCATGTCTGCTGGTAAAGATAAATCTCAAGGACATAACTCAGTTTTATTTTACTTTCAGCGTCCCTATCAAGTCAGTGTGAAGTCCCCATTGAATTACCTTTGCCCCAATAAAAGCTGAGCGAGGAAGATGATGATACCTTGAGGTGAGCACCCCTTTCGAGGTCACTTCATCAGTTTCAAATCTCTTTCTAAGACAGCCCTTTGCATGAGCTCTTGACTGCTAGAAGAGGATGGGCAGGGGATAAATCTGCAAAACTGGCCAGGGCAATCCATGAAGGTGAGCAGGGCCACCATCACTCAGGAATCCCCCCTGAAACTCAGCTTAACAGAGGCAAAATTATTTCCCCTATGATGTGCACTGCTGATCATTTGCCTTCGTTAATAAAACAATGGTTGATGTGCAATAAAAGCCACATCCTGACTTTCTTAGCTCTGCAAAGATTTCAATAGCAAAGTAAATCCAGCTTTGCACCAAGTAGCAAGTCCTGACTTTATTTCCTCTGCAAAAATGTCAATAGCAGCGTAAATGTCACTTCTGTATTTTATTTTCTTTTCCTCATTTTATTTGAGGAAAGTTTACGTTGTATATAATAAACAAAAAATGCTTGGGTAAAAATAGGAATGAAATCATTGCTGCTATAAAGAGGAGGGGTGGCATACCTTCCCTGTCCATCAAGCTCCAAGCAGTTGGCACCTTATAAATCATAGGAAGCACAGGGGTAATTATAGAACTGGAAGCTGATTACTGTAAACATTCAGAAGTAGCTCCTAGTCGTTGGAAGCTAAAGATAACGTGAGCAAGATTACAACCATGAAGGAACTGTGCAAGCCACTTATGCCCCCATTTTTCTCTATTCCTTAAAACTAGGTTTTCTGATAAAGCAACAAGCAAATTAGTCAATCTAGCACCTTGTATATTAACAACCTGTTAATATCATGAATTGTTTGTCACAATTAGTGTTGATTTGACAACATTCAGATCACCAGGATCTGATTACTTTCCCATTGTGCATTAAGCAACGTAGCTAACAGCTACTGCCAGCTTGTTCTGTCATCTCCTGGCTCCCCTTCATCCCTCCCAGAGGCTCTGCACCATGTTTGTGCTGGAAAATACCTGGTCAAAGAAGGGCAACATGCACTAAGAGGAGATGATAACAACATGTAAAATGGGTTTTAATGCCAGAGTGTTCATTTCTTCACCCTCAGAGCAGTACGGAGAGAAAACTCCGCTTCCTCTGTCTCCTCCACCCTTGTACCTCCTTGGTGAAGGTGCATCTGCCAGCAACATTGTGCTGGACCATGAAGAAATATTTGATTTCTGTCTCAAAGAAGTTACACCACCAGGACAAACATAACACTTCACCTGAAAGCAATACCCTCTTTCTTGCCCAAACATATTAGAACAACTCTGCAACATGACCAAGAAGAAAGCTGCTTTTTTGGCATCAGACTGTGCCCTGCTCCTGTCCTCAAGTAGGAAGATGTACAGAACCTGGCATTTTTACTGTACATAGAAAATTTAGGTTATTTATGATTCTAATCCCTACTTGACCCTTACAGAACTATTTACCTCAATTATAGGTACTGCTGATAACAAGTTCTACAAGTTAGTTACCACAAGTGTAGAAGCATTGATTTTCATCCACATGCTTATGTTGTTGTTATATAATTCCAAATTCAAACCAAGACAACAAGCTTTTGAAAAAGCCACCCTTTTCTTTAGTAAAGTTACCTAGACTACTTCCTGAAATTATCTAAAACTTGGTCATGTTTGACAAGAGCCTCTCCACATTATTTGTCCTGAAGAAAGTGCTACAAAAGGTGTAGCTTTTGCTACCTGGCAGTAAATTTCTCACCGTGCTGTATAATCCCGTGCTCCAAGAGCCTGCGGCCGAGCTGCTCTGCTTCAGTCCGTGTGGTGGCTTCTCCTTCCTGGATCAGCCAGTCAATGAACTCCGATGCCACAAAGGTCCGTTCATACTTGACTCCTTCCTCTTCCCTGGCTTGCAGGAGAGTATTTTCAGAACTCATCAGCCTGTTACAGGGGGGAAAAATTGGAAGATTTATTCTGGCGAATCTCACTGATATTAAGCAAACAGATGTGAACCTTTCACTGACTTACTAAATCTTTCCTCAAGCTATCAACCTAAACTTAGGATGTGAATTATAATTGCTTAGTCAAAAAATGTAGGCTCTGTATCCCTGTGTGAAATTGATGCTTTCTCATTTTTCCCTAAAAGAACACAAGGTTTTTCAGTTTCACATTTCCCCTATTTAGTTCTTTAGCTTCTCTAAAAGTTAACGCATTATCAACTTGGAAACAAATTCAGCCCAAAAGCATGAGATCGTGACTAATGTGTTCAAAAATTCCTAATTAAGTTTTACAGTTAGCAGGATTATGCCCCAAAGTCATTAAGATGGTTTTGAAAATTCTCCCCATAAGTTTTAAAACAGCGGCAAAAAATTCAAGAGGAAGGACAAAAGGTAGCCATGTGGTTTGGGTGGTTGATAAATATTTAGCGTCCAACACCCAGCGATGCAGCTGCAATCAGTGAATGACAAACCTGAACACACTGTGACATCTGAGTCTCTGTGCCTCATTCAGCTCCGTGTAACACCAGAGTTCAGAGGAACATCCTGAGGTCTCTCTAATCTCCTAGCAGCTGCCGTGTACCTGGCTTAACTACACTAATAAAATTCTTCTGCATTCAAGTAACCCACAGAAATGACACCGTATCAAAAAAAAGAAAAAGCTTCAGTTTTTTGTTAACACATAAGGTTGACAGGTTGAAAAAGAAGACAGGTTGAAAGAAAAAATGACAATTGCTCCCTTTCAATACAGAATCCCACTTTTATCTTGTTGTTGGGAGACCAAGCACTATAGCATTCTTATTTATTAATTTAATTTTTGTTCATAATTATTTTACTTATTATAGGCTAATAACAAGACTAGTATAATAGCTCAAGAATGGCATGGTTATTTGTTCCATGTAAGACTAGTAAGTTCTCTCCTTTGCCCTTCTAATAAAAAATCTGAATTTCATGTAAATCCATACGCAGGCTGTCTTTTAAACCGCCAGCATGTCAAGAGTTCATGGAATATAATGTCACATCCTTTGGGAAGCATCAGAAAAATCTGTGCCATGAGAACACAGACAAAAGTTTAATTTGAAATTACAGTAAGGAGGTTTGGCAGGACCCAGCCCTTGTTATTTCACCTCAAAGATTTATTCTCTTGACTTCAACGAGAGCTAACCAGAAGCCTGAACTGACTGGATCTGACCACCAGGCAGCAGATCACCAAACCAGGCAAAGGCTGCTCAGCCACAGCTGTACGTCAGTAGCAGATCCAATGAACTGCTCGTTTAGATGTTGGTGCGTCATTCCCAACACCTCTGAGCTGAGTAAGAACTAAGAAAGTCAAAATTAACTGAAGTCAGGGATGAGGCCAAAAGCAAGAGTTTGTGCTACAGGGGACAAGCGTTGACTTCAAAATTCTTGCAAAGACTTTATTCTTTTTTTATCTTTTGATTTACAAGCATGTGCATCCAAGGTAACATTTTGTCCCACACTAACCACATCTAATACAGACAGAGCTCCAAGGGACCATCTTTAAGTGTGTCTCGTTCACCAGGCTTTTTTCGCCATCAGAAAAAAAAGCAAACCCAAAGCTCGTGTCTTTCTGCACCATCTGCTGCAAGGTTACCCAGAATCGGTTACCCAGGCTCTGTGGGCACCAAATAAAAAATCCTTAGGATTGTGTTAATTGTTCTTTGATAAGTCTATAATTAGTTGACCAGCTCATTGAAGTTGCAGATAGAGAGGTCCTTGAAAAAGAGATGCTAATCGTTAGATTTTTACAGAGACACAAAAGATATTTGGAAAAATTTCAAGTGGAAAAACACTCAGCTTGACATTTCACACCCTTCTGTGTGTGCCCAGAATAGCACTGCAAAGGATTTGGACTTGTGAACAAACAGACACAACAAATTGACGGTTTAACAAACCCAGAAACAGCAATCCATAGACTTACATCGCTAACTGAAGTAAATCACTGTAACTCCAGGGCTGTCAACAAAGCTGTACCAATTTACATCAGCCAAAAACCTGGCCTTCGTTACCCAGAATTGGAAACTGCCTCTATCTCTTCCATTTTATCTTTGTTTCCAAAAAACATGGGGCTATTCATGCCAAAACATATTCTTTGCTAAAAACCAGTGTTATCCTACATTAAGGGAATGTATTTAGTCAAACACTGAAATTCAAACCCTTTGCAAAAGAAAATTTTAACCTTGTTTTATCTAAATAACTGAACTAGATGATAAATTAACCACTGATGAGTTAAAATGAAAGTGATTCAAAGAATGCAGTCTCAAAATTATCTAAATGATTTCCTGAAATTAGAACCATAAATCTGCACTGTGAAATCTGTTTGAAAAATCTCAGTTGAAGTTAACATCATGAGATGACTTATAGCTCCTACACCCGACTGCACCAGAAACAACAATCCTGTGTGCCTGACCAAAACCTACTGAGAATTGCAAACATCATAAAAATAGGATGCCTGCACAACTTGATTTATTTTTTTTTTAAAGCTATGAAAGGTCTGTGCTGGTTTTATTTAAGATTTGCTGGGAGGGTCTTGTTGAACAGGAAACACGTTTATCTCATTCGATCTATCTGGTCAGTCCTGTAGAGTATGAAAACTGATACCATCTTTGGACCTAATAAACTATTTAACAATTTTCAGACAAAGCTGTAGGAGAACCAGTAGGTTTCAACTCTAGCTATAAACTTGAATGTCAACAACAGGATTACCCAAGTTCGCAACAATGTGCAGGGAATCTGAGTTGATTTATGATTTTTAGTGCAAATGAAGGGAAAATACAGTCAGAGACTGATTTTACGTCTTCAAATGGCACAAGTACAGCCACTGAAACATCCACAGTTGGTGAACAAGGTAATGTCACAAGAGAGGAGAATCTAGGGTGCAAGAAGCTTTGTGGTCACACAGAAGGGAGACAGGTGAGAGCTCCTCACTCTGGGGACAGACCTAATGTTCCTGGGAGAGGGGAGAGCACAGGGCATTTACCCAAAACAGCTGCCTGAATGCAGGGAACCTGCCTAATGCCTCCATTCCTCTGCCCGTGCAATGATGTGCTGATCTTCCTAAAGCATTTTGCTCATTTTACCCATTGAGGGTACAAATCCGCATGGACCAATGTTGGATAACACGTCTGCAATTTTTGGCAAGCACAAACTGCGCTGGCTTCTGAGCATAACGGTGCTCCAGCCCTAACGCGGTGGGTGGAGAAGAGCAGGAAATAGTATTACTATGTCTATCTTAAATGAGCAAAGCCTACTGAAGATCAGCAATATCTACAAAATTAGACACAGATTTTTAAAATATGCTGGATCCAGATAGATTTCCTTTGGCACAGTTGCATTTCTCTTGAAATTAGGCCTACAGGCATTTTGATAAACACATTGAATATACTGGTGAGTTCCCGTCTGTGCATGAATACTATTGTTGTATGTTGTTGCCATTTAATAACTATTTGAATTGCACTGATTAATATTTTCTTTCTCAACACTATAAGCAAACTGATACAACAGCTATATTACACATAACACACATTTCATTGCAGAACTCTTTCCGTAGTAGTCTGGCTTTCAGTACGAGATTTGGAGTATAAAATGCATCCAGTGAAACTGTGAAAGTGTTGGCAATCAGTGTGCATGGAGAAGGGACCCAACGAAATCCGGGGGCTCTGCACACTGGATTTGCTTCAATAACAAAGTGAAGCCCAGATAGCCCAGGTATGCAGTCTTATCTCCCACGAATATAAAATATTTCCAGTGATCCATGGAGAATTCTGACTAGCTTTGATTGTCACAGACTGGTTTTGAAATGCCATGTATTTTTAATCTGTACTATATTTAACACTCGGCACTGGTTTTAAAAGTTTCTGAACCCTCTGGATACGTTGCCTAGGAGCAACCACCTCATGAGGATGCAGTTATATTTAGATATAGGTGCTGCTTTGGGAATTAACTCCTTTTCCAAGACAGGAACAATCTATACTGTTATGAACATTTTTCTGCTAAGGTAGAGTTGGACAAACTGGACACTAGACACGGGTTTGGAGACAGTTCTTCATGCAGAGAAATGGGGATGGAAGCAGACACTGGAAGAAGAGAGTTCTTCTGACCACGGCTCCTCTCATGCAGAGGACTGTTATCAGCCTCAACAAAAAAAAATGACTTTGCTGACAGAGGAATAGAAATAGAAATATACAAAACAAATAGAAAAAAAGGTTTGCTACTGTGGACACACTGATTGGCTTTACATAGTATAGGCCAGGCTTATGAGCACTGCGTGTTACGGAGTCTAAAGGAGCAAATGCTGCACTCTGGCACAGGAGATTTTGGAGACGAGTGATTCAATTCATCTGTCCCGGGGCATCCAATAGAGGATTTTCTCCAGTGGTGTATTTTCTTACATCTTATACAACCATTATTTTTACTTTAAATAGTCACAGTCACTGAGTCTCAGGGAATTTTATATGACGGGTGCAACAAAAGGAGTGGCATTTACAATTATTGGTTTATAATTCAGTTTAGTTGCTCTTTCACCAAATTGACCTTCAGAGCCTTCTAACCTTGAAAACAGTATTTATCATCAGCTTTTAAACTTGCGATTGTCCTGAGCGCTTTTTTCTGAGGGAAACAAAATTAGACCAGGCAGAAGACACAGCATCTCCCCTGGCTGCTGTATGCTTCTGATCTAAGCAAGCAGGAGAGTGGGTGGGATTCAGTCTGGAACAAGGCTTCAAGCTTTTTGGTAAATAACACATCTCAACTTTTGCATTAGTTTGTAGCATATGCCAACATGCATTTTATTCACTCTGCTTGAAAGTACCATGTCACAATCTCTACATCCTGAATAAAAATGTCATTAATTATAGATTGGGAAGTATGGTTAAGCTGCCTAGTTATTTGACGGAAGTAATCCAGTGGGATATTCAGTATCTCAGCATAATCATCTGTTTCAAATCTTAATTAGATGTTCTTGGCTGGAACTTTTTTTTAAACTGCATTTAATATAACCTTTCTGATGTAGAAGCTTTGCAGACTGGAACACTGAAGATTAATGTCACCTATTATTTAAAATCAAACCTCTTGGTGAAAATACATAATCTCAATAGATATGTAGCCACTTGTTCAGTACATGTCAATGTACTAAAGGTTTGGGTCTTGCGATTACAATTTTACAATCATTCATTAGTAATTATTTTTACAGAATAGAGTTCAAGGGATTAAATTTACACTGGGTTCTCATATAGGATGTATTTACAATACAGAATATAAGAAAATGCAATTTCATTTTAAACAAAATGCTACAAGTGGACATGGTAGAAAAGAAAAATAGGAGAGAGAGAGAAGAGTTACCAACTAAAGTCACGGGAGTACCCAGACCCACTCCTGCATGATTTGAAAGACTCTGACTATTCAAAAATAAATTAACAAGTATCATTTGTCTCCTATTTGCCTACTGTTAGCAACACATTATGGATACAGAATGCAACATACTTTTCATACAGTCTTTGTCCTCTCATGAAGACCTTCACCTCATTGTCCAGTGGAAACGTCCCATCATCTTTTCTGAAGCGGTAGAACAGTTTGACATCTTTGAATTCTTTATGCTCATCACAGACTGAAAGGTAAAATAAATAAAAAAATTCATGGGAGTTTAGGATCCATTTAGCAGGTATCACCGCTGAACTTCAAAGCAAGCACATATGAAGCTTAATCCCCTGGATTTCTGAGCATACAATTTTATTCAGTTCTAATAACTGATGAAAGGCTGGAGAAAACTTTCAGCCAGGTACCCAAATTCCTAGGTGATGGGGATAGGTGTTCATCAGTTTTGTGAGCATTACTGCGATCTTAAAGAGCAAAAAAGCACCCACCTGTTACATACCCGGGAAACCTTCTGATGAAAACAGTCTGTTAGCTTGCTTGTTTAAAAGGCCACTAGTGTAGAACACCCAGTAATTTAAGGACTGGCAAACTTCTTAAAGTTTCTTGTATCAATTGAGTGATTCTGTAGGAAACTTGAGACTCACTGCAGAAACAGTCAAAATCAAAGACTTCTGCCCTCTTAAAACTGTCTTGAGTTCTGCTGTGCGAATGGCAGGTACAACAGGAACACAATGCAAAATGCTAAACAAGGTTTATAAGAGAGCAGGTGACAATGGGATCCTGTAAACGCAGAACAGAGCTCCAGCAAGGGCATAAATTAATGGGAAAGATATCCCAACCAGGCTGCTCCTGGCAGAGTTTCAGCCACGTACAAGGCCTCACCTTCTGCACCACAGCAGCAGGAACTGGTACCCCACTTGACGTGAGAGTTGAAAGGATGCTCTAAGCATCCTGCAGAACCTGATTGAACCTCTCTGAATTTGCCCTAGCTCACCTCAGAAGAGAAAATTCTTAAATTTAAGTGCAATACACAATTTTTTTTAAGAAAACACCTGCTTTATGTGTAACATATACACACGTATACATAAAATTTGTATGGAAGCTACAGTGTGCAATTGGATCCTGAGGTAGAAAACATCTGAAGATTGTTAAAGCTTTAAACAAGCATTCAGCGATAAAACATCTATTGCTCAATTAAATTAAGTCACTCAGGCGTCCAGGCAGCTCTTCACTGACATTTTCTCAATAGAGGATTAAATAGTCAGATTTGACTACCCTATAATTACTTTATTCTTTAACTATCTACCAGTGAGTCCCAGTTTCCATAACAACCCAGAATTTTAATTTAATAGCCAAGCAGAAGCTGTAGAAGTGGCACTCATTCAATATGTGCATTTCTTACTTTAATTAAGGTGTCGTTAACGTATTGCAGATAGCAGCACTATTGCTGCACATACAGTGACCCCTGCATGAAGTCAACATTCGTCTGTTCGCAGTTGCTCTGTTTTTTCTTAAAAAGAACCAAACAAATGGTACATTTTGCCTTTTTGAAATGGGTAATACTATAAGCTTGAAATCAAGGACTTGGATCTTCTTTGTTTGTGTGCTTCCTAGCCTTTTTATGCACCAAAAGGCAACTAAATGCTATTACTGAACTGGAAGTCCTCTTTTCATCAGCGTAAATTGTTATTCAAGAAGCTGAAAGGCCCAGATCTCCAATAGACAACAAGTTTAGGAGAAATTAATCAGGGCACAGTCAGACCACTAACCTTTTTGCAGCTGTACCAGCACTAATGTTTGTGCAGCTGGTGTGAGGGACAGGCCAGAGAACTAATCCTTTTTTTGCTGGCTGATTTTTCAGATGGTTTTTTCAGCTGGAAAACTGTGCTCTTGGGAGCTGGGAGATGAAGGCAAAGAGGAGAGAGGGGACAGGATCCAGCTGGGGCTGCTCTGGAGGCAGGGAAGCAGCAGCACTATCTCCAGGGTCTTCCCCACCTGTACTGACATGGGGAACATCACTCCATACCTCTTCAGCCTTTCTGTGTCCCCCAGGGGACCTTGTGGAGCAGCACAGTTCACGGGAGATGCTCCCTTTCTGGCAGGGTAAGGATCCTACCTGTCCTATACTTGGTTGAAAAGCAGGAAGGGGATTTCCCTTTGTTTCACAGCAGTCAACAAAATTTAGCTTAGAACTTTTTAGCAGCTGATACTGCACTTACCATGGTGGATAATGCTGTGATCCATCAATTTCTGCACCAGTTTAATTGCCGTCTCTCGATCGGAGGCCTCTTTATGGTCAATCAGCCAGTCGATCAGCTCTTTGGCAACAAAGCAGTTTGGGTACGTCTTGAGGTGGTGACGCCGATCTTTAATGACCTTCTCTTCATGCAGTCGGAGCCTGGGGGTCAAATCACCCATGAATATCATGTGTAAAGACCCTTTGTAACTAGCAAGACTGGGACAAGAGTGGAGCAGAGGCACCCAAGCCCTGCTCACAGGACGGGCTTTGCTGATGATGGATGGAAGAGTCTTGGTCACATGTGCAGTGCTGGGGTCTGACCACCAGGCAACCCACAGGAACCATCCTTTCAACTTTAAACCCCATACTTGGGAAAACTTGTTTTCTGCTCAGTGGAAAAGATTAAAAAATGAAAACAGCACAGAACACGAACCCCATTAAAATACTTCCAGCAGGTCAATTAAGCTGTCAATAATTTGCAATTAATTTTCCCACATTACCATTAATACTTTCCATGTTACTCTTTTATTTTGTGGTATCACTGATGTAGAATTCTTTTTCTTAAATATCTTTTTTTTTTAGTTGCAGTTTCTTCCTTGCTTGGGTAACTGCATTTTGCCTCCAGCTGCACAACAAGCATAGCATTTATGATTCAAAATTCAGGTGCAAAGCTGTTCCAACACAATGTTATCTAGCATTAAAAAGTTGCCTCCTACGCTAAATAAAGAGAAACTGATTTCACACTCAGGAAACCATTGGTAAATACTATCATTCTGCAAAATCTCCCCCATCGTCTTGAAAACAAGTTGGTTGGCTGGTTTTGAGGCACTTGGGTCAGAATGCAAGATCCTGCCTAGAGTATTACCTTATTAGTAAAGGTTCTGGAGTTCTGCATCTTTATTTTTAGTCATTTTTTTCCAAATAAACAAAATGAGTAACATTATCAATAAATTAATGGATAAAGGTTTTTAAAAGGATTTTTTTAAGTTTTCTGCTTTTTTGTTTCCATTTCAATTAATGAATTTAATAATACTGTTTTTATAGTGCCATGTCTATACAACAGTTCTGAAGAAAGCATAGAAACCACAGCACTATGCTCCTACCACAAACAGAAGTATTGCTGTTCATTTTAAAGTGGCCGGGATCCTACCTTGTAGATACTCTTACTGATTTCAAAGAAATTCTGAGTAATACTATAATAATAATTGTAGGGGGCACAACTATCTATTTCCTAGAGAGGGAGACATACTGCAAAAGGGTGTTCACGTGAGCCTAAAGAAGCACAGAGCAGGAGCCCAGTCATAAGACCAATTTTCCTCTCAATGTGATTCCAGTGTGAAACAATCATTTCTCTTTGGAATCAAAGAAGGTGGAAATATCTACTGAAAACAGTGAAGAAAATATTACTAAGGCTTTAAAAAAGGCTTACATAGGCTTCTACCTAAAAATAGTAGCAAAGCAATGTTTTTGTCTTTCAGCATTTAGCCTTGAACTGCACTGGAATGCCTAAACTGTGATATGAATTCAAAGCCAGCTTTGAAAACATCATTAAAAATGAACACTTTAATATTAAAAATACTGATAAATCAGATTAGTATTCTGGAAAGAAGTGCTAATAAATATCCCATGCATTGTGAAATTCTCTGAGCGAAAATACCTTTGCTTAAAGCATATTTTCCAGATGTGCTCTAGCAGCTGTTGCCATACTTAGAAAGAAAAGCCTACAGTTTTAATTATAGAACATGCAATTATCAGTATGTCTGACTGAGCTTTAAATTTAAAATATATTCCAGGTTCTGTTCATATTCATCCAGTCTTATGTTGCACAATATCTGCAAGAACAAAAATAGGGAAAGACTGTATAACACATATGTAGGCGGCTCAACCCACCTGTCAGTCACCGGTGTGAGTCTAAATGGATGGAGTTCATGTGATACAAGAGGGAACCCCCCTTCTAGGAAATTCTTTGTCCAAACCCCATGTAGGGGTTTGTCAGAAGTGGCCTGGTATTCCACAAACAAGTCAGTAGCCAAAAGCCCCAGAACTGAGTATTTATGTCTTAAATTCTGATTGAAGGCTTTCCTGCACTTGGTGGGCTTATAAATATTTCAATTTTTCTTTCTTTCAAAAGACACGTGTTCCCACTACAACCTTTTTCCTCGCTCAGAGCACTTACAGGATCTCACTTTTTGCCTATATCCATAAAACTCACGGAAATCTCATTATCTTAATTATCTCCACCCACTTGCTGAAGTGGATCCAAATTTGCTAAGAGGTTACGAAATCATGAAGTCAAACAGAGCATGACCACATAGGCAAGAAACCTGAAAAACCACATTTATCCACAATTTCCAAATGGAAGTGGGAACTTCTTATGTAGTCTATAGCAGTTGTATCCACACTGAATTATGTCCAGGCTAATTTATTTGGAATAAAGATCAGAAAGGGAATTCAGATTTTGTCCCTGGTAGTGTATGCTGTTCTCTCTGTCGGGGCTCCCTCACCTCTACAAACCTGCTAAAAATCAAACTGTATGGAGGAGAAGTAGCTCAATAGATTGAAGTTGCACCTAGTGTAAACTACAAATATAAATGCCTCAGGTAAAGTTATTGAGCTCATATTGCAGTATGCAAATCAAAAGTTTAGGCAGGAATTCTAAAAATGTGTCCTTGTTCAGAAATATTTGTCAGGAGCCAAATCAGATGGGATAAAAAGGAACAAAATGTAGTGCTGAATGCTATTATACACTGGAAGCAACGCTCAAGTCAAGTGCTGAATTCTTTTTCCCTTGGCATTGGGAAACAGGCTTCTCACCAAAAGACCTCGATGTTTTCCCTTTATGTAATATTAATCATTTTCTGTCAGCTAGTCTGCATGAGGATTGGAAAAGACCTAACTTGACAACAGTCACATTTCTCTCGCCAGAAGAAGTTTTTCTCAAGACCTGTTTAGAAGGATTAGTTCACTGACAAATCCTGACCAGTTTGAGGGGAAAAGGAGGAGAAGAGAGAGGGCAAACAACAAGGGGTGGTGAGAGGACACCTTGATTCAACAAGCCTTTGAAAAGTTGTCCTTCTTCCTACAACTGAAGAGCTTAACACCAGAAAACGATCTTGTGTACATCATCTGTATGTAATTCCATGTGTTATTTGAGATTACCTGCCAGATTTTGCACCTGGGGCAACAGTCTCCCCTACTCACAGAAAACAATATGAGAACTAAAGCATTTCAGCAATTGCCTGTGAACTGTCACAGGCATATGCAAACTTTTAATATTCACAAATTGATATTCATGGCTCTTATTCATGCTTACAACAAATACAGACAGTCTGTATTTGCAAGCACGTGTGCCAGAACAGTTTTCTTGGGGGCTTGTCTAAACAGGAGCTGCTCCTAATTAACAACATGTAGGGACTCTTACTCCAAATAGAAGTTCCTTCCTCCTGTGTAGCATGGAATGGGCTAACCCGGAACACCCTGCTCCTGCTTTGCAGTGAACGTGTTCAGAGCTAATCAGGAACAATGTGATTTGTTGAGAGGCCATTATGCATTTTCTTTGCCAACTGTCAGAAAAGTCATGATAATGGAAAAATCAGAATCTTTGCCGAGAAATGAAGAAGCAAGCGCTAATTTGGGAAGAAATTGCTCTCGCACCTACATGAAACTTGCATTTTGTTTTCCACCAGGGAAATTATGTGTTTTGAAGTTTCTTGCATTTTTTTCTGAACCAACGGGTAAGGATTTTGCAAAGGCAGTGTCTGCACAAGAGTCTAGCTTTCCTTTTAAACCCCAGAAAAGCCAGCCTGCTGGCTGAAGCCTGCAATGATGTCACCGATTGGACCACAGTCCAAATATCTTACCTAGCTATTTCCCTCTGTTAAGTCTAGTAGTTTGTGCTTGGCTAACATAGACCTTGCAGAGCACCATCTAGTCCAGATTTCTATGCATGAAAAGACAAAAAGCCTCCTGCTCTTCTTGGTAATTTTCTGAATAATTCATCTACCATTTCCAAGTACATCCTATATAGTCCCTATGTTTATCCTAGCAAGGATCAGTAAAAATGCGCAGGGAACAGGTTGGTTCCTGGCAGTCAATAGACAACATGGTATGAAGACTTTCATGTTGTCCTCCACTCATTTACCACTTTTAATCTTCCTGAAGAAATCATACACACCCATACATATGCATATATCATAGAATCATAAAATCATAGAATAGTTTGGGCTGGAAGAGACCTATATGGGCAGAAAAAAATATGTTGCCAAAGACAAGGACAATTCACAGTGGCTAAAGAGCATGGGTTTTCCACACCTCTTCTCAAGGGACATCAGAGGTGCTCTGCTGGCAGGTAGAATTGCCCCTTTCTGTTGGAAACAGAACAGGTTTGTATAACCCAGAGGTCACAAAGTTTAGCTGTTTAGCTGTTATGACCTGTCTACAGGTAGATACTTATGAAGGGATGGCATTTTCCAAAGTGTCTCACTGACTTCCAAGCATAATTGCCACTGGAAGTTAAAACTCACAGTCAGATGCAGACCCAATTCATTACAAAATAAGTGAGCATATGGCAGTATTTGTTTATATATATACACACCCAGGAAAATACAGAACTATGTGAAATGTTCTTTGCACTAAAATTTTGCCTTTGCACTGTCAGCAAAAAAAAAAAAATAGGTCAGTGAAGGCATAAACTTTGTACACAGAGGCAATCGTGAAGATACTCTGCAAACGTGATGTGTATTGCTGGGACAAGCATTTCCAGCTGGGCTTGCCAAGTCTCAGCTGAAGTGTCAGCGGTTCGCCACTGCCTGTTCCTCTTTCTATTTATGCTGCAGCTCTGCAATCACTCAGTGCTGTTACTTGATATTCACAGGAGCTAAAATACCCTTTAAAACATGGGGTCATACTGGAAATAGGATGAAGATATTTCTGTGTTGGTAACTGTGGAAGAGAAGGAATTCTACCATCCAAAATAGGGTTTGAGAGGGTATCTTCAAAGCAGCTCCTGATATCAGTTCTCATCACTGTCTTTATCTCCACTTTTTTGCCCAGAGCCATGTTGTCAACGTGAGGAGATGCCAGAACACAGAGCCAGATACAGAGATTTCAGATAAACCATCTCTTGGCACACTGCAGAGGAAAACCCCAAGCTTCCAAAG